TGGATGGATCTTCTACTGTTGGCCCTTTCATTTCAACACTTGACACTTCTCCTGACATGTTAAACATCTTATCGGGAAGGCTTACTTCAGGAACTTTGATGTCCACATGTGCCATAGGTATATCAGCCGTATCCTTTGATGCTTTGGTTCCAAATTTTGGGAAACTGATTGTTGGAAGTTTAAATCTTGTTGGAGAGCCAAAAGTGTCCTCCTTCAAATAAAGATCTTGTTCTGGTAATTGAATGTCTGCAGATTGCTTTGAAACATCAACATTTCCCACTGATGTGCCCATGTCAGCTTTGGGTAGACTCACATCAACTTCAGGAGCCTTAAGGTCTGGTTTTGAAAATCCCAATTTGGGAAGTTTCACTTTCAGCCCTTTGGAGTCAACTTCAACTTTATCTGTTTTCCCCTCAGTGGTCACATTTTGAATTTCAACACCAGGCTGTTGTACATTTACATTTTCTTTACATAGCAGGTCAGTCTCTATGTTTATTTCTTTACCCTCCATCTCTATCTCCTTTACTTTTGGCATGCCAATTCCAAATTTTGTCAGTTTGAACGTACTCCCCGTCCCATCATCATCAATCTCCTTGACCTTAATGTCCACATCAGCAGATGGCCCTTTAATATCTATGTTTGTTTCAGTGTCAGTGGTTTGTACCTCTCCTTTTTCTGGGAAACTGATTTCAGGTTCTTTGATATCTACTTCAGCTGCTGGAATATCAGCTGTAGCTTTTGGATATTTGAGTCCAAACTTTGGAAGGTTGAATGAGGGCAGCTTAAATTTTGTCTGAGTTGTTGTATCTCCTTGTTTTTTCACTTCATCTGTGATGGTGATTTCTGCATCTTTGTCTTCAACAGGTATGTTGTCCTCTTGCATAAACATATCTGCCTTTGGTTGAATGGCATCAACATCTTGCCCCTTAATATCTGTCTTTGAAAACCCAAATTTTGGTAGTGAAAAGCTTGGCTTCTTCAGTTTCACATCATGCCCTTTCAAGTCAACTTCAGACATATCTGCTTTGCCTTCAATGGATATGTCTTGAACGTCAACATCAGGTTGGGGTAGTATTACTTTTCCTTCTGCTAGATGAACATCAGTTTCTCTTATTGTGGCATGTATATCAGTCTCTATTTCTTTTACATCTAATTCAGTTTTTTGTATTTGACCTGACAACTTGATGTCTGGTTCATGAACAGTAATTACTATTCCTTTTATGTCCTTATCTGCTGATGGTAAACTTACTGTACCCTTTGAAGTTTTGACTCCAAATTTTGGCAGGTTAACTTCTGGCAGTTTAAATTTGGTTGGGGAACTAACAATCATTAGATCTTTCTGTTCAGCCTCTCCTCCTGGAAGTGTGACTTGTGCTGTTTGTTCTTTAACAGGTACATTGACCTCTGGTATGGATACTTCAGCCTTTGGTACACTGATATTAACTTCCGGAGTTGCTGTGTCTGGTTTAGAAAACCCAAACTTGGGGAATGAAAAGCTCGATCTCTTCACTTTTACTTGCAGTCCTTTGGAATCAACCTCAGGCATATCTGCACTCCCTTCAACTTTAGCTTCACTTTTGGGTGTCTGTACTTCTAATTTCACATCAGGTTTAGAAATGTCTGTTTTTATATTTGTTCCCTCTAGCTCTGAATCTGCCACATTAATGTCTAATGCTACTTTTTGTGATTTAACACCAAATTTCGGGAAGCTTATTGACGGGAGTTTAAACTTTGTTGGAGATCCAAAAATTGTTGAACCTTTTTGGTCAGACTCCATCTTTGACACTTTAATATCCACATTTATTTCTTCTAGGTCCATACTGCCTTCTGGTATGGGGATATCCGTTTTTTGAATACTTACATCAACTTCAGGGGCTTTTATTTCTGGTTTTGAAAACCCAAATTCAGGTGATGGCTTTATCTGCACATCTAGAAATTTAGAATCTTGTTCTGGTGGCTGAACCATCCCCTCAGTTGTTATCGCTGGCTTTGTTATATGAATTTGTTTTACTTCAGTTATATCATCTGTCTTGGATGTACTTAAATCAAACCCTTTTACTTTAGGAAGGCCAATACCGAACTTTGGCATCTTAAACTTTCCTCCCTGTCCTCCAAGTTCAGCATCTTCAACATTTAAGTCAACACTTACAGATTGACCCTCTGTGGCTAGATGAGGTCTCTTTATATCTACTGATGGGGCTTCACCTGATATTTTTATTTGTGTATCTGAACCAATCACTTCAGGTCCTTTAACAGCTATATCTACAACTGGCATAGTTTTCTCTTCCTTCGTAGCTTGTCCTCCAATCTTTGGGATGTTGATTGAGGGGAGTGGAAATTTTGCTGTGGCACTGAGAGCTGTTGTATCTTTTTGATCATCCTCAACATTTGACACTGTGATATTCAAAGTTTGTTCTTTTATTTTCAGATCACTTTCTGGTTTAGAGGTATCAACTTGTGCAAGACTGACATCAATCTCTGGGGCCTTGATATCTGGTTTAGAAAATCCAAATTTAGGAAGTGAAAAGCCTGTTTTTTTAATTTTCATACCTGTGTCTTTTAAACCAACTTCTTGATCAATTTTGCTTTCTAGTGTGGCTTGTGATACTTCCCCAAGTTTTGCCTCTGGTAAAGAAATATAGCCTTCTGCCTTTGATATTCTGGCCTCTGTAAGTGACAGGATATATTGATCTCCACTATCTACCTTTGTCTGATCAGCACTGATTGAGGGTTTCTTCAACTCTTGACCGGGCACATTAGAGTCAATTTTGACGTCTGATGGTTCTACTGATGTGATTAAATCTTCAGTCTCCAAAGTAATTTCCTCACCCCTCAAATCCATTATTTCAGCTTTTACTTTGGAAGATGAACTTCTGAATTTCGGTAGTTTGAAAGAAGGAAGTTTGAATTTGATCTGTGACCCTCCCATGGTTGAATCATCTTTTAACATCTGTGTTGTCTGAATTTTCAAGTCAGACTCAAGATTCACATCCACTTCACCTACTGCCATAGATGTATCGCCCCTCTCAACATTAATCTCTAGAGCTTTAATGTCTTGTTCAGAAAATTCATGCTCTGAGCTTGGCATTTTTGGCATTTTCAATGTTACCTCCATTTCCACAGACGCTTCAGGTATGCCTGCTTTTCCTTCAGCACTCTCTTTGTCATGTTTCAGTGGAACCTCTGATTTTTCTGCATCTGTTCTTGATGCACCCTTTTTAAATTCTGGTCCCTTTAGCTTTTGAAATGAAAATTCAAATTTGGGCATCATAAATCTACTCCCTTGACTACTAGGATCAGTGTCTTTAGTTTTAATTTCAGCATCCATCGGTAGGGTTTCTAAAGTTGATTTAGATGGTTCTGTATCTTGTGTTCCTGTATCTTTATCCTGTGATGCAACCGCTGATGCTGCCTTTATTTCTGACTGTGCATCATCCTCAGATTTTTCAACAGACTCTTCCCCAGTCTTTGAAATGGAAATATCAAATTTAGGGAGAGAAATTGTTGGAAGCTTGAATTTAGATGGAGAACCAGAAGTACTTTTGTTTTTCAACTGGACTTCAACCTCTGGAGCAGGAAAAGTCATTTCAGTCTCTTTGATCACAGTGTCAGGCACAGATATTCCTTCTTTTTGAAGACTGGTGTCAGCATCAGGGATCTTAGTGTCAGATTTGTAAAAGCCAAATTTAGGAAAAGATATCTTACGTTTTTTAAGTTTGAATTCACTCTCCTTTTCTTTAGCCTCCAGGATGACTTCCTCTACTGAACCTGAAGGAAGGTTGACTTCCGCCTCAAGATTACTGGCTTGCATTTTCAAACCTTCTATAGCTGTCTCTTGATCAAGACCATGGCCTACAAGGCTCATCTTAACCTCTGGTTTAGAAAATGCATAATCTGAAGACAATACCTTTTCTTTTTTCTTTTCAGAATGTTCATCAATAGCCTTTTCCACCTCTGGGGTAGATACATCAACTTCGGGTTTGGAAACACTGAGAATAATATGTGGGGTTTTCATTTCAGGTAATGATGGCGACTCTGTAGGCAGCTCGGTTTCTAGTGCTTTAATTTCCATTGCAGGTTCATCTTTGGTGACTTCAGGCATTTGATTGTCAGAGACTGCATCTGTTGATTTTGGAAATGAGACACCAACTTTTGGGAATTTAATTGTAGGACGTTTAATTTTTGTTGGAGTTCTTGGATCTTTCTCAGCCTGATCAGAATCTGCATTTGATTCTCTGGGGTCTATAGTTGATTCTTCTTTATCCACACTATCAGTTGGCTTGTGGGCTTCAACCTTTGGGAGGCTAATGCCAAATTTAGGCAGTGTAACGGTAACCTCTTGTTCTTTGAGCTTTGTTTCTTCAACCTTCATATCTACACTAACAAATTGACCTTCTGTAGTCTCAAAAGAATCCTTGATATCACCTGCTGGTGCATCATCTTTTAGTTGCATGCTTATTTGTGTTTCTGGAAGGCTTTCATCAGGTTCTTCAGTATCTATATCTACAAATGGCATGTCTTTCACTACCTTAGATGATTTTCCACCAAACTTTGGTAAGCTGATAGAGGGAAACTTTACTGGTGTACCACCATTTGTTAGATCTTTATGTTCAGCCTCATCCTTTGAAATTGTGAAGTGCACACCAGACTCTTTTATTTCCACAGAAACTTCTGGAATTGATAAATCAACCTGTGGAAGACTAACATCAACGCCTGCAGCTTTGATGTCTTGTTTTGAAAATACAATAGCTGGAATTTCTTCAGCATCATGGCCAGTCAGGCTAGCATCAATATCTGGTTTAGAAAATGACATTTCTTCAGATGATTTTATTTCTTTTTTCTGAAAACCTTTGATTTCTGCCTTTCCCTCGGGCAGAGACAAGTCAACTTCAGGTTTGGATACACTGAGAGTCATTTCCATGCCTTTCTTGTCAGAAAGTGCTGTTGCTTCTACAGGTAGTTTGGCTTCGTCTGTGCTGACATCAGGCTTTTGAATATTGCCCCCAGCATCAGTTGTCTTGGGAAATGAGACTCCAAATTTTGGAAATTTAATTGTGGGAAGTTTAAATTTTGTGGGATAATCTGTTGAATCCTTGAACTCAGCCTCTACATCTTTGGTCTTACTTTTAACATCTAGTTCTGTCCCATCAGCATCATGTAAAGAGCCCTGTGCGGCTGGGAGAGTTATGTCAGCATCAGATACTTTAGTATCTGATTTAGAGAATCCAAATTTGGGAAATGATATTTTCCTTTTCTTCATTTTAGACTCTGCTACTTTCATTTCAGCTTGTGGAAGTTCAGATGGCTCCACTTCAGTTTTTCCACTAACCTTGATGATGGATTTTTCAGATTCATCTGGTAACAGGCCACCTTCTTCTGTCTTCTCTTTTGGCATTGAGATACCAAACTTGATCAATCTAAATCCACTCTCCTCTTGAGCATCCTCAATGGCTTCAACAGCTTCAGGTTCAACAGCTTTTGATTTTCCCTCTGCCTTAGGGATTTTTATTTTTGGAACAAAAACATCTATGCTTGGCATTTTTAATTTAGTTTCTACACTATATGCTTTGGGATCAGTCTCAATTGTTCTCTTCTCAGAATCTAATTCAACCTCTATTATGTCATTTTCTTGCACTGTAACATCCTCTTTTGTAGTGACTTCAGCTGTTCCTTTCATAGATTTTCCTCCAATTTTGGGCATTTTTAATTTATGCAGTTTCTTTTTTTGTGGAGAGGAATCTGTGCCTTTGCTTTTGATTTCAGCCTTCAGTTCTCCTTCAACATCTTGTTTTGAGGTTTCCTTAACAATAGCAGTGCAAACATCATGATGGAGCATTTGATCACTCTCTATGTCATGTGCTTTTTTAGTTTCATGCTCAGGTGCACAGCTTTCACCTTTTTGAGATTTTTTAAATGTTGCTTCTTCAGAAGATTTTTTGATATTGTCTTCTGATATTTTTGCTTCAGTTGTCCTCTCCTTGATTGTGCCACTATCACTTTTAGGTGACGTGGCCTTTATTGGTAATTCAATCACAATACCTGGAAAGCGAATGTCAGGTGTCATGATTCCAAAACTTGGCATTGATACCTTTGATTTCTTTGATTTCTTTTCATGCACATTTTTGTCAGCTTTGATATTTGTATCAGTATATTCTTTCACAGCCTCGTCTTGAGTGTCTGTATCTTTGGCTATTATGCTTTTTGTTGGTTGAACTGATTGTTCAATGGCTTCTATTCCTGGTATTTCAATGTCTTCACGCTTTGGAAGTTTGAATTTTACATCTGGAGATGTACTTATCTTATCATCCCTTGCTAACATTTTGCCAGTTATGGGTTGGTGGTCAGCAAGTTTAATTTTTGATAGGTCTGTTTTGCTCTTGATTATAACCATTTCATCAAGATGCAATTGTTCAATTTTTGGTAATACGAAGGTTTGATCTTTTGTAGCAACAGGAGAAAGTATCTGCTTTTCTTTATCCATTGTGTCAGGCAAATTAATGTTTATTTCTGTGCTCATGCTCGGAATTTTACAAGGGGATCCTTTAGGTGTCATGCCAGTCTTGTCTGACTTAATTTCCATGATTGTGATCTCTCTCTGTACAAGGACTCCAGTGATGTCTCTCTCAGGTAATTTGAAGGCAGGAAATTTTGATACTGCGTCCTTTACATCCTTAACATTAAACTCTTCTGCTTCCGCCTTATCTTGCTTTTTTCCTGCTTTTGATATTTTTATTATCTTCTCAACTTTTTGTTCTTTAATTCTAGGAGGCTTAACCTTGGCTTTTGATCCTATGTCCTCCATGCCAGAAATCTCAATTTCCTCTCGTTTCAGGAGAGGCACTTTGGTTGGGTCTTTCTGATTTACAGTTATTGATTCTTGGTGGTCGAATTCAGAGACATCCACTTTAGGCAGTTTAAAATTTGATTCAATGTCCATGCTACCTCCAGTACTCTTCCTGCTTCTGTCCACATCCAGAGCATGTGATTTTGGCTGGGATATAACAGGAGTTGGAGTGATTGGTTTCTTTGTGTCTGTTGAGGACATATCCTCTCTTGTTTGAATCTCACAAGTGTCTGATGTAAAATCTAGTTTGTTTACTGCATTTGAAAAATGACTCTTTGATGTGGCTATGTCTGCCAATGGTCCTCTGGTTCGAATCCCATAACTTTCTGTTTCTAGAATGTTTCTTTCTTTCTTTTCCTTGTCGCTGCCAATTCTTGGTAATTTGCTTATTGGTCCTACCTCTGGCATGTCAAGAGAAACATCAACTTTAGCTATGGTCATGTCTGTTTTTCCTGACTCTTGGGTCTTTTCTAATATCTCTTTAATTATTGGTTTGCTATCGGAATCCACTTGATGTCTAACCGGTTCCGTTTGTGATATTACATTAGGACTGTCCAAAATATTGTCGAATGTTGATGGATCCAAAGTTCTCATTCCACTTGTGGAGGATTTTAATTGGCTCTCTGTTTCTATTTCATATTTATCCTTTCCTGGAATGCTAACCTTCAGTTCTGATTTCTCTCTCCTTTCTTTGCCATCATCTCCAAGAGTGACTGTAATATCAGTAGTCTTTAATGTGGTGTCCACACTGATGAGCTCAACCTTATGCAGTGATTCAGTCGCTGGCAAAGTGGGGAATGTATATTCATTTCCTGTTTTAGTTGAGTCAATATTTTCAGCTTCATTCAATATTTTAGGACTCTCTATCACATTAGTCATTGGCACTTGCTCTTCGACTATATTCATAATAATTTGGTTGTCCAAGACCTTCATATTGTCTGTTGCAAGCGCCTTTTTGTTTTCTTGGGTTTCTTCAACAGATTTGCTCCTGCGGCCTGCCATACGCTTCTTAGGTTTCACTTTATGCTTCTTTTTCTTGTCTTTTCCATCTGGGGATTTTAATGGAGACTTAAGAGGAGACTCTGTGTCACTTGTTGGCGGACTTATCTCTAATTTTCTCTGTTCCTCTGCTTCTGACGTGCTGTGAGATCTTTTAAAATTCGCCCTGCGACCTATGCTAAAGGTAGGGAATTTGGGCCAAGAGATGCGATCATGTTGCTTTTTTGTCTTTCTTCGACCTCTCATCTCTGGTCCGCTACCTTCCTCTACTTGCTCAGCCTCCTCACCCTGCAAACATTGATGAAGCAGATGCACAGTAATGTCAATGAAACCTCAGAAGAAGCTTTGCAGTATTATGTAATTAAGAATATAATGAACAGTATTATAATTACAATGGTTATATCTGGCCTCTCTGTCTCAGCATCTTCCTGGGTTCTTGGAGGTGGTTTGCGTTTTAGACAGAATGCCACTTTATATGGTTGAGCATGCTCAAGAATCTGGAGGGCGTCTTCATATGACACATTATCAAAGTATACTGTAGCACTAAGTATTTGATCACCTGAAAGGCCAGATGGAAGGGCACAAATGAGGACGTAAGTGAAAAGATGGAAGATTAACAAATTTAGCTGCATTCTAGCTTCAGAAATGTTCTGTAATGTGCTATAATAAAAACCTCACCTTCTTTCACACTTAAATGCTTTGAGGCAGGTGACTCTGGTTTTACTTCCTTGATGAAGATGCCATCCTTTCCTCCACTTACAACCAAACCCTCAGCACAGACTTCTTTTACAGTTTTCACTATTATTTCTGACTGATCACTTTGCATATCCTGAAACAGAATGCAAAGTAATTTAGAAATCAAGATCATGTTTTCCCAGTATTCACATTCCTAATCATCTGTATTCTTCATTAGAGAGAACTTTTGGTGTGTCAGACCTCTGTTTGATTCATCTTGGCAGAGGAACGCTTGTCAAACAGCGAGCCGAAACCAATCCTTTTGCTTTTTTTGGAACTCTTGGTGGGTGAGTCATAGAAATCACCTTCAACCTGGCAAAATAGCATGTAGTATATTATATAGATAATAGTTAGATGATCAAATACAACATTATACAGTTCTGAATACTAGGGTTATTATACTGTGCATAGTGTTAAATAGTTAAGGTAAGAGGGTTTTCTAATGTAGCGCTCACCTGTTTTGCGTATTTCTCTGTGGTGGGGAATTCCTCGACAGGAGAGGAACCCTGAGGACGAGGTCTTTCCCCCTCTAAAACTTCAGGCTCCTCACATACCTATTATATTAAATACCAATTAAAGACTGTTTAAACAATTAATCAATTTAAAACAGAGAGACCTATAACACATGTATATTTTATATTTGCTGAATGTGCTGTACTGGAGTGATACTCACTAAATCATCATCTGTGTCTTGTTCTGGTTCCTTCAACCTTCGCCCTTCTCCTGTTGTGATGAAAAAAACAGAATAAGCACTTAAAGGTCAAGCTCCTATATGTGGAAAAAAAGTACATTTCAGGCGCATTACGTTGTCTGTACATATGACCTAAATTTAAGAATCCATCCTAAATGCCTAAGCCTGTTATATAGTCATGCATGCAATCTATACTTTATTTATTTGCTGTTTTATAATTTTCACTAATTGGAGAGTCAGTGGGGGATCTATTTTGCCAGACCAAAAGTATTTTATCTGTAAAGATGACAGATTCTAAGGCTAAATTTCTGTGTGAAAAATTTCCTGGCAGATATTCCCACATGATCCACACAGTCTACCTGCTTCTGTTGCTTCCTGTAAAGTGAGGCACTCTATTGATCTGAAGGGGTTGGCTTACGCTGCCTGCAATAAGACCAACATGGAAACATGGGCTTTAACAGATCCAAAAAAGAACAGTGAAAAAATGGTTACAAATATCTGCAGATGGGATATAATTTGAAAAATACAAATAATATGTTTCAATTTGACGGCATGGAGAAATTATTCCCTTGCACAATTTTTCAAATAGTTGTATGAATTTAACAATATTTCTGTCAAAAGTGGCTTGAATATAAGTAGCTCACAAAGACGAAGAGTACAACGAAATAGTCAGTAATTCAATAATCCACAGGAGATGGGGTATAAACACAGGGAACAGATCCACTTTACACACTAGACAGGACTAAGAACTGAACAAAACAGGAAGCACTTTTACAAGAACTAAATGAGGGAACTAATGAGATAATTGATTAACACCAGGTGAACTAAAAGACTAATCAAACACACAGGAAAACAGGGTCAAATAGGAAACACAATGAGACAGACCATACATGTAACAATTATACAATAGACAGACATACTTAAATGTTACTGATACCAGCAGCAATAATACTTTAATGGCATCCTTTCTCCTGAGAAAGGCATATATTTCCAGTTCCCAAAACATAATGCACTTAAAATAAAAGGATTGTTTAGGTAAATTTTTTATAAGCCTCACTCTGCCCTGGCCATAAACCTGCACTTTCCTTCAAGCACTTATCCAGGCATCAGGTCTAGATGGCATTGAAGCACACTGGAGATTTATGTACAGTATGTATGTTATGTCGCACATGAACAGTATTACACCAGCACCATCTTTTTCCGTTTCTAATGATCTGACACTAAACTTGCGAATGCACCAATGTATAGACAGTTGGGGAAAAGCAATGGTAAATGTGCATTATCCACAGTTAAGATTATAAGCAAAGTAAACAGACTTATTAAAGGGAGTAGAAAACTCTTCCCATATCTTTTGTTGAGTCAAAGGCTTTGAGAACAATCCAACTCAATGGTATTCTGGTGATTAATATGCCATCCATCAATCATTCTGTCATTATGCTGATGCCAGCATTGACATTTTCCATGACACACCTTTTAAAAATTGTTTTAAACAAAATTGCGCAAGGTTTGTGTTGACCACAATTAGGCTGTTTAAACTCTGCTTTTAACCACAGGTAAAGCAATATTGAACTTGAAAGGGGTTTAGAACCACTTTTGCTGGGCGAATTTCAAACTCAGCACCTTGGGTTATGAAACCCTAATAACGGAATGTTACAGTGAGAAATAAATAAGCTCTACTGATAAGCAAGAGCAAGAAAAGCTGTTAATTAAACAGATTTCACACAGTGATGCTGACAAAACCAATAGTTTGAATAACCTGATGTAAACTGATGTGCATAGGAGAGATCAGTGACTGTAACACTTAAAACTGAGGGTTTTGGTTTTAACATATACATGTATGATGAACAAGCAGAAGAATGACATAGCTGTGATTTTAATGTTTGATATGTTGTGGTGCAAATCAACAAGGTGTCTTTTCTGACTGCTATTGTAGCTAAACAGGCTTTAGATGGGGTTTTTTTTTCAGTTGCTATAAAGCTTTATAATATCTGTCCAAAACCAACACAGTGAATGGAACAGGCCTAAACAACAGGCCTTACTTTCTTCAAGGTTTTTTTTTTCTTAAATGCTTTCAGGCTCCCCACCCCTGTCAGGTACAATGAGGCTGTTTGTTTGTTGGTATACTGTATGTAATAATTACTGAATAAAATGCATTAAATTCTTGAAAGACCATTGTCCATCATAAATTATTTAAAATAAAATCAATAAACCAATTTGCAATCATCTCTGGGCTCCTATACTTCATATATTTCTATTAGGATTGCAAATTAAATATGTGAGCTCTGCTGTAGGTGATGTAAAAACAGTTTTAGCTTGTGACTGAATATTCAGGAAACATACTATACTATGCACAACTTATTGCTTTTAAAACATGCTGTTTACTTCAGTATGCTACTGAAATATCTTGAAGTACAAACACTAAAAAGAATCCAAGTGCCAATATGAAAATAGCCTAGTTTAGCTGAATTATAACAAAATTAAATATTTAAAAAAATGCTTTGTATGTCCAACATATTGCTGAATTTTAATTACAATGATGCAAAGTTCTTCGCCAGGTAAACATTAAAGGTTAACAATGATAGGTTTGTACTTACACGATATGTGGTTTACTTGCAGAAATATATGTTTCACTGTTTTCCAGATAGTAATTTACCAAGTGCACAGCATGCATTGACAGGACTGTTTGTGGGTAGTTGTTAGTTTTTGTGGAGAAGATGAAGGGCCCTGCCCTTTCTGTAGACTTCTAAAGGTATGGCACAACCCTGTTTCAGGGCTGTGGTTCAAGCTCCTGCTAATGCTATTGTGCTGAAGAACAAACATCTGAATGTGTAACAATGCTTGCACACGTTCACAAATGAATATAAAAGAGAGGTCTTGAGATTTTTAAGCAAAGGAATCAGAGCAAAGATTTTGTTGTAAGGGTCTTTATGTCCTTCTGTTCTCCAGTGAATTTTGCCTGTGTTTGTTTAGTTTAAATTTGAGTTGAAGGAAATAGTTATGACATTAGTGTACAGTGGGAAATAAATGCAGAAAGAAGACAAGATTTCATGCAGTTCAGAGCTTTTCATTGCGCTTTTTTGCCAAAGTAAATAAACAATAAGACTTTAAAGAATAGATCCGTTTACTCAATACAAAGCAAGCTGTCAATCACATGATGTTTGTGCAGTATATGAGTGTGCACATGGCTGACTGTATGTTTAAATACCATTTCAAAGTCCAATAACTCCTTTTATCCCCGCATAATTATCATTTGGCTTCATATTTGTTATAAAATCACCATGCAACCGATTTAGCAAGCAACAAACCACTAATAGAATGAAACCTGAATTATAAAAAAAAGCCTATTTTATTTTTAAGCACAATAATTGATCCTTAACTGAGATGGACATGAGTGCAACTTGAATTGTCTGAGAAATTCAGTGTTAATAAATTTGTAACGTAGTGACTCCCTAATCAAATTTTTTGCTCACAGTGCTGGTCAAAAAGTGATAAAGTATTTAATGTATGTGACTATACTGTGATATAGTTTTACAGTATATAATTTGTATGAATAGGGTAGGAAATACTGTAATACTACTTATAAAGTACAGAAAGTGCATGCACACAGATTCTCTTTGTAATTTTATGATGTTATGAAGGACTACAATAAAACTGAACTTAGTCTGAAGCTGCTTAGTCTGATTTTAATGCATGTTGTTATCATTATGACTAAAGTAACTAACACAGTGATGCTGACAAAACCAATAGTTTGAATAACCTGATGTAAACTGATGTGCATAGGAGAGATCAGTGACTGTAACACTTAAAACTGAGGGTTTTGGTTTTAACATATACATGTATGATGAACAAGCAGAAGAATGACATAGCTGTGATTTTAATGTTTGATATGTTGTGGTGCAAATCAACAAGGTGTCTTTTCTGACTGCTATTGTAGCTAAACAGGCTTTAGATGGGGTTTTTTTTTCAGTTGCTATAAAGCTTTATAATATCTGTCCAAAACCAACACAGTGAATGGAACAGGCCTAAACAACAGGCCTTACTTTCTTCAAGGTTTTTTTTTTCTTAAATGCTTTCAGGCTCCCCACCCCTGTCAGGTACAATGAGGCTGTTTGTTTGTTGGTATACTGTATGTAATAATTACTGAATAAAATGCATTAAATTCTTGAAAGACCATTGTCCATCATAAATTATTTAAAATAAAATCAATAAACCAATTTGCAATCATCTCTGGGCTCCTATACTTCATATATTTCTATTAGGATTGCAAATTAAATATGTGAGCTCTGCTGTAGGTGATGTAAAAACAGTTTTAGCTTGTGACTGAATATTCAGGAAACATACTATACTATGCACAACTTATTGCTTTTAAAACATGCTGTTTACTTCAGTATGCTACTGAAATATCTTGAAGTACAAACACTAAAAAGAATCCAAGTGCCAATATGAAAATAGCCTAGTTTAGCTGAATTATAACAAAATTAAATATTTAAAAAAATGCTTTGTATGTCCAACATATTGCTGAATTTTAATTACAATGATGCAAAGTTCTTCGCCAGGTAAACATTAAAGGTTAACAATGATAGGTTTGTACTTACACGATATGTGGTTTACTTGCAGAAATATATGTTTCACTGTTTTCCAGACAGTAATTTACCAAGTGCACAGCATGCATTGACAGGACTGTTTGTGGGTAGTTGTTAGTTTTTGTGGAGAAGATGAAGGGCCCTGCCCTTTCTGTAGACTTCTAAAGGTATGGCACAACCCTGTTTCAGGGCTGTGGTTCAAGCTCCTGCTAATGCTATTGTGCTGAAGAACAAACATCTGAATGTGTAACAATGCTTGCACACGTTCACAAATGAATATAAAAGAGAGGTCTTGAGATTTTTAAGCAAAGGAATCAGAGCAAAGATTTTGTTGTAAGGGTGTTTATGTCCTTCTGTTCTCCAGTGAATTTTGCCTGTGTTTGTTTAGTTTAAATTTGAGTTGAAGGAAATAGTTATGACATTAGTGTACAGTGGGAAATAAATGCAGAAAGAAGACAAGATTTCATGCAGTTCAGAGCTTTTCATTGCGCTTTTTTGCCAAAGTAAATAAACAATAAGACTTTAAAGAATAGATCCGTTTACTCAATACAAAGCAAGCTGTCAATCACATGATGTTTGTGCAGTATATGAGTGTGCACATGGCTGACTGTATGTTTAAATACCATTTCAAAGTCCAAGAACTCCTTTTATCCCCGCATAATTATCATTTGGCTTCATATTTGTTATAAAATCACCATGCAACCGATTTAGCAAGCAACAAACCACTAATAGAATGAAACCTGAATTATATAAAAAAGCCTATTTTATTTTTAAGCACAATAATTGATCCTTAACTGAGATGGACATGAGTGCAACTTGAATTGTCTGAGAAATTCAGTGTTAATAAATTTGTAACGTTGTGACTCCCTAATCAAATTTTTTGCTCACAGTGCTGGTCAAAAAGTGATAAAGTATTTAATGTATGTGACTATACTGTGATATAGTTTTACAGTATATAATTTGTATGAATAGGATAGGAAATACTGTAATACTACTTATAAAGTACAGAAAGTGCATGCACACAGATTCTCTTTGTAATTTTATGATGTTATGAAGGACTACAATAAAACTGAACTTAGTCTGAAGCTGCTTAGTCTGATTTTAATGCATGTTGTTATCATTATGACTAAAGTAACTAGTGTTCACTCAGTTAAATATGTGTGTCTCATTGTGGACAGAGTCAGGTATATTATAATAACATTCATTATTTCCAAGTGAACATGGGATTTTGCTTTATTTTTAATATATACTGTATATATATATATATATTTATTATTGGGGTGAGAGAAGAGAAGTGGGACCACAGCTTTTACCAGGAAACTCTGCAAAGCAATATGAATATGAAGGTGCATGTGTTGTCCATTTCAGTTTATCACTATTCTTGTGGATGTGGACGTGTTGATTAAACAATTACATCATCAGATTATCTTGAGACGAATATGCTTAATAGTCTTAGTCACATTTTAGTCATTTGAGTCTTTCATAGTTTTAGTCTAGTTTTAGTCGACGAAAAGTCATTGCATTTTTGTCAAACTGCAGTTACCAACATTTATTTTATATGTAGTCTTCAAACAAAAATAGTCATTATTTCTTCTCTCTTTAGACCATATCAATTAAGCTTATGAGAAATTTGAATCAAGGATTGAATTTGGAAAAACCTGAATAAATTATGACTATTTTCATTTTTGGGTGAACTATCCCTTTAAAGGGGTGGTTGATTGCGATTTTACTTTTTTAATGTTAGTTAGTGTGTAATGTTGCTGTTTGATCATAAATAATATCTGCAAAGTTACGAAGCTGAAAGTTCAACGCAAATGGAGAGATCGTCACAGATTTAGACAGATTTGTGAACAATATTTGAGAGAAATAGGCCTTTTGTGTACACAGAAAAAGTCTTAGATCTTAGATCCAACAAAAGGGTTGCGTTTATAAAATGTATTCATATATGAATCGCGATTCTGTCTTCTAACGATTCTAATGGATTCACAAGTTTCAAAATCAATGTTCTAAAGCAGCATTTTCATCCTGTTCCTGGCCTCGCCCTGTTCTGCACACGCTCTGCATCGCTCTCTCTCTCTCATTCAGATCATCAGCTCAGTGAATACACTTATTTTCACATACTATAGTTATGAGAAGCGTTATACATGCGTGCGGTTGCTGAACTGTATTAAAGCTTTAATCAGAATAAAACTGTATATTAAAAGCTAACAGAAGCAGTAGCATTTACAAATAACAGCGTATCTAAAAGTATGAGACAACAACAAACAAAAAACATAGGCCTACCATTAAAAGCCGTGCTTGCACAGGTTCTGCGCGATCCTCTTCACTAATATCCTCTGCGTCTCAATCGGGCTCAAATTGATTAGCAATATAGACAACGTCATTGTTTACAATACAACCGGAGCACATGCCGCTATGTTGAGGGGTGGGACGTTTAGACACGCGCAAGAGGCGGTTTAGCCAATCACAACACACTGGACTAGCTAACCAATCAGAGTCCATTGTGTATTTCTGAGGGCGGGGCTTCACAAAAGCAGGAAATGATCAGCACGGTCAGAGGAGAAGGGACAGAAAGGTGTGGAATAAAGGTAAATTATGTGAAAAATAATGTTTTTTTTTAACAAACGAAGCATTAACACATGTTAGACTGCACCCCATAAACACAATCAAGCCTATAAAAAAAACAGTCAACCACCCCTTTAACAGTAGTGAAAAGGGAGCAACTTATAAAAATTATAGTTGTTCATATATAATATATATCATTTATAATTTTTGAAAAAGAAGCAGAATAAGGCAATAAGACAAATACGAAAGAGAGACAAATTAAACTAATTTTTCAGATACAGTAGGGTTGCTTAACATATTTATTTATCTTTTGTTGGTTAAAGGGGTCATATGATGCCCATTTTCCACAAGTTGATATAATTATTTAGGGTCTTAATGAAAAGTCTGTAACATAGTTTAGTTAAAATTTCTCAATGGTAGCGTAAAAACACCTTTTATTTTACCCTGTAAAAACAGCTCTTTTCAGATCAAGCCATTTTTGTAGCATTTCCCTTTAAATGTTAGTTTAAGTGTTTGTTTGTATAACTAAAGAGCTTGAAGTTCATCTGAAGGTCAAAAAAAAAATATATATATATATATAGATAAAGCTGCTAGTTTAATTAAATGAGACAAGGTGACCAAATGATTTAGAGCTGTTTGGTTAACAGATTAATTGCATTTCAAAGTCTTTTGATAATGAAGCCAAAAAGAGCACCACCATCAAGTTACTGTAACATAGAATGACACAACCAAAGATAGCTATAGAAAATATTAGACAAAGATACATGCAAGGTAAGATGCATAAAGTGTATTTTCAATTTTTTTTATATTAAAAAAAATATTTTTATTTATTTATTTTTTATATATATTGCTATGTTGTGGAGACACTTTGGCTTATGTATACATCTCGTATATTTTATAAAAACACTTATTACATGAATTACTATTAATTAATAAATCAGTTTTAAATAACAATATTACAAATATTGTATTGAAATATAACATTATTATTAAAATGTTTATAGAATTATAAATATAAATTATATATATTTTAAATAAATGTAGGTTATATCAGTATGTTATGGAGTCTTGGATTTTGAAGAGACACTTTGTCTTAATGTACATGTGTATGTAATTATATTTTTAAAAATTATATATATATATATATATATATATATAATGTGTGTGTGTGGATTATATTTTATAAAAATCTATTAATATAAATATATTGTCAATATATTTATGATATGTACACATACATATTTATTGATTTTTTTTTATTAAACATCATAGAAATCATTGAAATAAAAATGTGCTTTTTATTAAAATAAAAATATTAGGGAAAATGTTTTTTACAAATCTACAAAAAATAAGCTTATAAGCCTTCATAAATCCTTGTAAACAATACTATCCAAATTCAACAATTCCTAAACGCTTAGAAATCACACTCTCAACACTGTAAACAAACACACTGCAGATGCTGTTGATAAAATACTGCATAACTCAGTTGATACACCCACAGCCACATAGCCACGCCCCCTTTACTGCAGACACACCCAGATCACACACAGTGCAGCGTCATCTCAGCAGAGAAATGCAGTGATGCTTGTCAACAAGCTCAAGCACCAGTGTCCCACTAACTCACACATGCACAGCCCAACTGCACAATTATATTGTCCTGCCACCAGTGATGCTGAGTGCGGAGATAAAAATAGCACAGAGCATGCAGAGTGAAACAGACACACATAGAGAAAAGCTAAAGAGACAGAGCAAAATAAAGAATGATGCCCACCCGCGGCTGACGCATGCCAGTTGGGAAATGCCAGGTGAAAACAGTCACACATGGTGGCTGTCTTCTGGGGGTCTTGTCCAGGCTCTCAGTAGTGGTTTCTGGTGACGCACTGTTTTAGGAAGCCTCGCTCTCTTCCTCCGAGGCTGAAGAACCTGCTTCTTCCTTTTTCCTCTCAGTCAGTCACTCCAGATGCAGAGGACAAAATAAAGTCGGAGCTGGTGAACAGAGATAAAGTCAGTCTGACTTGGCATGCGAGGGAGGGACGGAGAGAGATGTCGTGCTCCATCCACACTAGTTCGTACTTCACAGGATTGAGGCTGCACTCTACCCTGCCAGAATAAACGCGGTCTCTCTAGCACGCAAAAACAACTAAAGGGGGTATAACTGACTTGGGACAGGGGGCTGTCCTAAACAATGCAAATCCCTCCTTCTAAGCATCTCACTCCATCCTTCTGATCACTTCTGACCAATTGCCGCAGAGATGCTCTGGACCGTCTGACAGCTGATTGGTTTACAACACAAGAAAAACATTCCATCTTTATAGGCATGCGGCAGAGATGTGTAATTGGATTTGACACCACACAGTACATGTTTTCATGTCAGAAGAGGAAGTGAGGATGCAGTTTGTCAGGTGACTAGACTAATGTGTTTAAGAGCAGCTGTGTACCTGAGCTGGCTGACATTCACAAACTTCTGATAAATAGTTTTGTCTGATATAGGGTTACGAGACATGTCTGTGGGAATGTCTCCCCTTGTTTCTGCACGACTCCATCCTTCTGAGGATAGCCACTAAGACCATGGCTAAATGATTTATGATTTCATGTCTAAGAATAAAAAATGATCTCAGAAAGGTACCAGACTGTGACGTCAACCTGAGACCAGTTCAGCGCGCCGGATCGCCACACTCAGACTACAGCAGTCGTATTTTATGGCCTTTGTGGATCTAAATCAAACCAGTTTAAAGAAGAGTTTCTAGGTTTTTTGATTTTGATCGAAAAATTACAATTAAGAGCTCTTCAATATCTTACATGTTTCTACTAGGCAGCTCAGATGGACATTTCCGCAGTCTCCTGCTTCTTAGATTTTTTTTTTTTTTTTTTGAGATATCTAATAATCTGGTCTACATTGAAAAAATATTGGCTTTGAAACAATTTTCACTAATAAATTGCTAGTACATTTTTCAAATAATTACAAAGAAGCACTAAGTAAAAACATGACAGGACATTATGAAGTAGAAATAGTATTTTCTTGCCAAACATATTCTTTATTTGTATCTTGCAGAACATTAATCTTTATTTACAAAAAAAAGTTGACTTTCAGTCAGAAGAGATCTGAACAATAGCTGTTTACATGCACCCATGTAATCCATTTATAATCAATTTGATGGCTCAATCAGGCTGAAAAGCCTTCATGTAAACACCTCAATTGATCGGAATGAAATTCCAGTTGGACTGGAAGGTGCGTAGACCTGAAATAATCTGATTGACAGAAAAAATTAAGCATGTAAACTCTTGAATCTAACTATCATCTAAATTGCAAAAGCAAAGTGCTGTGATATGGACATTTGCATACATTTTACATCTATCGATTAAAGTGTGCATATGTTTATTTATACCTCACATCTTAAAAACCGGTCAGTGGTGGAGTCTATATTATTTACTAAATATTTGCTAAAACATACATGTAAGCATTCTTTTTGTCATAAAGGCAAACAGGACAATTATACTCACGGTAACATTATCGAGGTGGCTTTCTCTAGTCACACATGGTGGCTGTCTTCTTTTGTTTGGAATACATGTAATGCATATGTAAATAAATATATGAATCAGATTGCTATGTTTAGGGTTCATAGAAGTGCATGTAAACATACCTAATGTCTCAAACTGTACTCAGATTTGCAGATAGCAAAGTCTGCCATCAAAAGACCGTAATCTCAGTATAAATTCAAACACTTATCAAATGCTTCCAAGACCAAATTATCTAAGTATGTTGATAACATTCATTTATAGCAAGTTTTTTTGTTTACTATGGTACTTTATAAAAAATGTATTTAATATATATATATATATATACAAAACATTTTCTTTTTTTTCTCATACATTTCAGAAGAAACATTTCCATTGGGCTAATCAATTTAGTTATTTTGTTTAGTGGCACACACACACATAAGAAGATTGGACAGGTTTGTAAGTTTGTATGTATCATTGAAATTAGGTCAATTAACATTCATATCATGAATTCTTGTCTGGATATGCAGTATGTCAGTTTTATTCATTTATTAGCAGCCTTATTAATGAAGGAAATTACTATTTACTATTCAACAGTTTGAATCCTGTTAGAGGCTTTCTATAAAGTTTAGGAAAGGTATTACTGCAACAGAAAACAGCAAATCACAGGCATGTTTATTTGGCATGTTCACATTGCTCGTTATTTGTGATACATTATTAATTAAATAAACTTGTGATTGACAAATAAAACATGGGTTGAAGTTTAGAGTATTTATGTATAGACATATATTCCCAATGCATGTACGTATACACTCTTGATGTTCATTCTTCTGTCTTAGGGCCTTGTAAATAGAAGGATGTCTGTGTTTCATATTCATCACATATGTCCATCTCTCTTTATGTTTCTGCATCTGAGACAGGGAGTGGCAGGATGAAACTGCATTAGCCCCTGGCTGCTGCCCAAGAAACTCCACACCAAAATCAATTTAGGTACTTGAGAAAAACAGAATGTGCCCTGCCACCATCTTTGCTTACTCTTTTTCCACCAAGCTTCTGCAAAGACCTACCATCTTCAGCCATTATGCACTACAAATTCTGTGAACATTGAAAAGGTAATTCGTCCTCCAAATGATTTATTTATATATATATATATATTAACATGCTCATAGATTGGAAAGTTTGAGTATGGAAGGACTCGAAAAGACTGTTGTAGGGTTTCTGCTGATAAGCAGTTGCTTTTAATCTAATGCAAATAACACTTCACTGTTGACAGAGATTGTGCTTCTGGAGCAACCTGTTGCTTTGGCTCAACTGACGTTATAAAGGGGAGTTATAAACATCTTTAATCCAAAGTGAATGAAAACAAGGCTAAATATGGTGTCTACCCTGACCATTTGTTACCATTTGTTAAATGTGAGCCAAAATCATCACAATTAAAAGAACCAAAGACTTAAACT